AGCGGGAACCGGTCTCCACATGGGATCCGAACCCTCGGTGGGAGTGCCGCCGCGCTTTCAAGTGGCGCACTCTCCAGTGCGCCACCGGACCAGCCCTCTGCTCTGCTTTTTAGATTAGAATTCTATGCTAGTCATTACCTTTAGGGTTTGGCTTCTATCATCAGACCCCTTTTATTAAGAGAAAAAAAAAACATTCTTCTTCATGGTCCTGACCTTTGGGGTAGGCAGTGTGTACAAACTGGAGGCATCAAGAGGCATGACTTCAGTAAGGCTGGTGTTGGAGACACTAGAAATTCTGTTCTCCTCTCTATCTGGGTGATTCACAACCACAGAACTAGGGACTGAAGTGAAGTTCTGGGGGTATGTATACCACCTTGAAGTGCTTTAAGAATGGATATATATGGTGAGGAAAAGGAAACAACTGTCGTGAGCAACTACTGTGAACAGTTTATTTAAGAAGAGAAGGAAGGTGACAAAGCTAGAATAAGGTGCATAGACAAAAAAATTATTTTGGGGGTTGGAAAGACTTGATGACAAAGATCTAGCTGAGAGTGGAGGAGAGCATGATGAGTAAAAGAGAACAATTAATGAAAAAGGATCCTGAGCGAAATAATGAGTGTTGGAATTCATCATGAGAAACAGGAAGGGAAGCTGTGTTGGGAAGTAAGAACAGTGCAGCTATAGATAAGATTTGTGTGTTGGGAGGGGACAATGGATGAAACTCAGTTGCTCCTCATCCAATATCCTCAATTTTTTATGTGAGGTAAGGGGTAAGATCATCTGCTGAGAAAGGTGGGGAATGAGAGAGCAGGAGAGAGGAGGAAGATTTAGTACAGTTGTTAAAATGCTGAATAGCCACCATGGGAATATGCTGGAGATCATTAATTTCTAGTTGTGCCATTTCAAATAGATTCTGGTATATTTAATAGGATCGTTAACCACTTGATAGTAAGAAAGAAAATAGGTTGTGGACTTGATCTGGGATTACCAGGCTGGGCAGCAGAAGAATGGAGAACAAGGAAGTTGTGTGTTCTTGTGGGAGTGGTTAATTTGACCAACTATTGAATCTAGGCTGGGTAGAAGAAAAAAAAGTAAGATAAGGGAAGATGCTAGGTGAGACTAGGAGAAATGGAGAGATTCAGACTTTTAAGATCTCTGGGAGTGTGGTGCAAGTTAGTATGGTACAGTTTGCAGTGGAGCTCAGTGATTTTAATGTTAGAGAAAGAAAACGACTTGAAGAGTCAGGAAGTGATGAAGCTTGGCAGAGAACAAATCTTTTTTAAGATTTAAACATATTTATGGGTACAGAGTTGACTATCAGTATTTGTGTACAGTATGTGATGATCAAATCAATATTATTAGCATGTTCATCATTAAAAATCATAATTACTTTCTGTGTCTCTTAAACAATTCCTCCCTATCCTCCCTCTCCCCCACTTCCTGCCTCTAGTAACTATAGGTCTGTTCTCTCCTTCTGAAATTTCAACATTTTATTATGTATGGTCTTTCTCTTTTTTTGTCTCTTAGCTCCCACTTATGAGCGAGGACATGTGGTATTTTGCCTTCTGTGCTTGGCTTATTTCACTTGACATAATTTTTTCCAAGCTCATCAGAGAATGCAAATTTGGAAGATGCTGGAATAAGGAAGAGGTGAATTGGTTCAGATTGCCAAGAGAGGTGAATGCTGTTAGCTGCCTTATATAAAGCTCCTTTGGAAAAGTGCAAAGCTAAAATATCTTTTTAATAACATTTCACATATTTTATAAATAAAATTATCTTTGATTTCTCATACAGTCTCCAAAACTGGTCAGTTCCATATCTGACTTTTACTTTAAATTCTAATATCCCTGCCATGCCAAGTTCAGAGTTTATTCTTTATCACTTCATCTGTTGCAGTAGGAGGTGACTAACTATCCTATCTGGCTTGGACTGTCAAGGTTTTGGCACTGAAAACTCTATTCCCCAGAAAAATCTGGACTGTTTGCTACTTTGCTTACTCCCAACTGATTTGGATTCCATGTGTCCCATCTTTCCAAAATCCATCTTCTATGCTGTAGCCAGGGTGATCTTTCAAAAACACAAATGCATAATATTACATCTCTTCTCAGCATCCTTTGATAATTCCCATAGCTCAAAAACTTCCATGATCTTGTGTCATGTACATTTATAGTCTCTTTTCCCTTCCACTAGCTTCCCCCACTCTCATCCTTTTCTTCAGCTGGGATAGAACAACTATTCTTCCTTTCTATAGGTTATTCATTTTGATACTTTGGGACTTTGAATGCTATTAATTCATCCTTGGAATCCCATTCCCATCCCTTCTTGTCCTACACCCTGCTCACTCCAAAAAAAATGCTTATTGAAAATCAACTTATCTTTCAAGTTGCACTTCTAGTCCTCCTCTTCTGTGCAGGCTTTATTTCTGCTTCCACAGAACTGTCTTTGTTACCTCTTTCATGTCATGTTTTTGAAATCTTTTATGGCTACTTACTCTTATGAGGGTACTTCAAAAAGTTTGCAGAAAAGTAGGATTAAAAGATAACATGAGGGCCAACCCCGTGGCTCACTCGGGAGAGTGCAGCGCTAGGGGCGCGCCAAGGCTGTGGGTTCGGATCCTCTATAGGGATGGCCAGTGTGCTCGCTGGCTGAGCACGGTGTGGGCGACACCAAGCCAAGCGTTACGATCCCCTTACCGGTCACAAAAAAAAAAAAAAATAATAATAACATGAAATTTTTCATGAACTTTTTGAAGTACCCCAAAACTGTTGGTAAACTTACTGAGAGCAGCAACCCTCAATACTGTTTTATTAATAATAATAAGGTATTAATTTTTCTCCAGAATTTCCCACCCCACTCTGCCTCACATAAAAGATTCTGTGCTAACATGAGGGTTTCTCATCACTCTGCCATTCACTTCAATTCTTGCCATGCACTGACTGTAGTTTTAGAGATTTTTTAATGTTTCCCCCAAAAGACCAGAAACTTCCCAGGGACAGAGACCATGGCACATGATTCTATATTTTCCACAGAGAAAGCAGGTCATGCAAATCTCTAAGCTCACAATGAACTACGAATTATAGAAGCATAAAAATCTACAATAAAAAATAAGGTATAAACTTGGCCTCTAGCTTGTTATTCTGGCCTAGTCAGGCTCTGTTATTTAACACAGAGGTGTGAACAAAGCATGCTTCTTTAGTAAGTGAAACTTTCTATACCAGTGAAGCAAAAACAAATAGCCATGTCTGTTAAGTGAAAAAGTGGAAGTGTGATTTGGGTGGGTATGAGCTATTCTTAGTTCTTGGAATTGTAATGCCCTTGATACATCTTCCTTTGCTCTCCCACAGCCCTTGCATGGATAATAGATAATAGTAGAAGCAGGGCCAATACTGAAGTCAAAGTGGGTGGTGGGGAAAGATGGGTGGTGTCCATGAGTGGCATGCATGAATACAGGTGTTTAGTTCTCTCCTGACAGCCGAACTAGAAGAATCTTAGTGTTCCAGGATCATAAAGTCCTGCTATGGGATTAGAAAGGTTCTGCCACGATGTGCTCATCACATGACACAATGAATGGCAGTTAAAGTAGCCACATTCTACTATGTAGTCCCTCCTGTCAGGGAGAGGCAAGTGGCATGGTGTAGTGAAAATGGCATTGCCTCAGAGTAAGCCAGGCATTATGGTAAATCCTATCCTTACCATTTTTTATTTTTATTATGTCAGGCAATTTACTAAATCTCTCTGAACCTCAGTTTCCTCATCTGCATTCTGAGGATGATAATAGCTCCTACCTCTTAAGACAATTGTGAGAATTAAATTAGATAATACATGTGAAAACTTCCATTGCAGTTTCGGGGGTATATCCTTGATGGTCACAGCATAACAGTTATTTTCTGCCTTTCCACCCGTGAGCACCCCTCCACTTCCACTCTAAGTCATACATACATATTCAAGATGACCACATGCCTCTTTAAGACATATCACAGATGATAGGCCAAATAGGAGGATGGAATCAAAGAAGAAGGAAAGTGAAAGCACTTTTTAGGGTAACGGTAGCTCATAACATCAACTCTCTTTTATCTGTGAATTCATCACCTGTGGTTCTGTTCTTTTATCACATCTCTATTTCCAGGTTAAGGATAGCATGTGATATAAGAAGCTATTCTGCTACTTATGAGGATTATCTAAAACTAGGTCGCTCCTTTGTTTTTGTAAACTTACTTAAAACAATCTGCCATGCTGATGATGCCATACCAATACAGGATTCCCCTTAGAGAATTGGTGTCTTCCCTTTCAAGATCGCACAGCAGAAAATACCCTAGTTCAGCTTCTAAATTCATGTATTACTGAACTTTTTCATGTAAATTTGGAATGGGATGCAAGTCAAGGGAGTAAGAAAATCTTCAGGAGAACCTCGGAGTCACAAGCTATTGTAATAGAATAATAAGGAGGCCACATTTCCAGGTCCTGAAAATCAGCCAGGACACTGACAATGCAGGCTCAAGGAGGCAGAGCCATTTTCCAAGTACTGGAGTGCTACAGTAGGAAGCCAGGACCCTGTGGGCAAGATGGCCTGACAAAGAAGAGGCAAGGGGACCTAAAAGATGAGGCTGAATTTCTACCATTGCAATTGGGAGTGAGTGAGCACTAGTCACTCCAAACAGTGCTTTGGGCAAGGCAAACTTGGAGGCACAAGAAATATACTCAAATGCTGTACTTTTTACAGTGGTGAGAATAATAGACTGAATATTTCAAGACACCTTTGCCTGCAGACAAAACTTAGAAAATCTGGGAGGGCAGCTGTAGGACAATTCCATGGTTCCTTAGCTGGTTCATTGGGTGACCTTGGATCAGTAGTATATTTTCCTTGAGCTTCTGTTTCTTCATCTGTAAGTGGTCCCTTCTAATTCTAATATTCTGTGTCTCTGAAAGTATATAAGAGAGATCTGGGTGTTGGCTGAAGAACTAGTTAACTTTTATACTCTTTTTTCCCCCCCTTTGGGCAGGGATCATAAATCCACGGCTTACCTTGATGAATATACTGAAATATTCAAGATGGGTAGCAACAGTACCAGCAATGCTGAGACTGACTGCAATGTCACTGATACGAAATTTCAGTACTCCCTCTATGCAACCACCTACATCCTCATATTCATCCCTGGTCTTCTGGCCAACAGTGCAGCCTTGTGGGTTCTGTGCCGCTTCATCAGCAAGAAAAACAAAGCCATCATTTTCATGATCAACCTCTCTGTGGCTGACCTTGCTCACGTGCTGTCCTTACCCCTCCGGATTTACTATTACATCAGCCACCACTGGCCTTTCCAGAGGGCCGTTTGCCTGCTGTGCTTCTACCTGAAGTATCTCAACATGTATGCCAGCATTTGCTTCCTGACATGTATCAGTCTTCAGCGGTGCTTCTTTCTCCTCAAGCCCTTCAGGGCCAGAGACTGGAAGCGTAGGTATGATATGGGCATCAGTGCAGCCATCTGGGTCATTGTGGGAACTGCCTGTTTGCCATTTCCCATCCTGAGAAGCACGGACTTAACCAACAACACCAATTCCTGCTTTGCTGATCTTGGTTATAAGCAAATGAATGCAGTGGCTTTGGTCGGGATGATTACAGTTGCTGAGCTTGCAGGATTTGTGATTCCAGTGGTCATCATCGCATGGTGTACCTGGAAAACCATTATATCCTTGAGACAGCCACCGATGGCTTTCCAAGAGATCAGTGAGAGGCAGAAAGCACTGCGGATGGTTTTCATGTGTGCTGCAGTCTTCTTCATCTGCTTCACTCCCTATCATATTAACTTTATTTTTTACACCATGGTAAAGGAAACGATCATAAGCAGTTGTTCCATTGTCAGAAGCACACTATATTTTCACCCTTTTTCTCTGTGCCTGGCAAGTCTCTGTTGCCTTTTGGATCCAATTCTCTATTACTTCATGGCCTCAGAGTTTCGTGATCAATTATCCCGCCAGAGCAGCTCTGTGACCCGTTCCCGCCTCATGAGCAGGGAGAGTGGTTCATCAATGATTAGCTAGAAATAAAATAACTCTTCAATTATGACTTTGTGCATCTATGTTCTTTGGTTTTTTCCAAAGGCCATAATTACCAGTGGGACAATTTCTTTAATTAAGCCTTGGAGACAATAGATATAAGTGTTTTCTTTTGTGATAATTGTGGCCACAGGAGTGGAGAAAAATGTGGGAAAGGAAGGGAAGATAAGATTTACCTGTTTCCTCTTTGAAATTCAAGGCACTTTCTTGTTTAAGAGACCTAGATCAAATTTTCACAGATGTTTCCAACCAAATAGAAATTGGATTCTTTATCTTATTATCTTCTTCGATAAATAGAATATTGTTAAAAAGATACAGTAAATATGGGAAAATTTTCCAACATATAAAAGTAAATCTTTCATATGAAGACCTTTATTTCTAAATAAGAGCAAAAATCTCTAGTCTTTCTAAGAGATAAATGCACAAGTTAGGGGATGTGAAGAGTTGAAACAACATGTGTGTAAATTTGGCTATAAACCTGATACTGAAGAAGGGCATGGAAATTCACTCATTCACTGAAAATTTATTGGATTCCTATTGTGTTTGAGGTTGCCACTTTGGCACTTTTACATCTATCATCTCATCTGGCCCTTTGAATAAACCTGTGGAAATTTCCAATACAAATAAATAAATGGAAACTTGCCATGGGATAAACAGTAGTGAGCCAAAGTTTGTCCAGTATACACCACATATGTTTAAATTATTTCCTCTGTTTATGTTGTTTATTAGGTCAAAACTAAACTTGACTTTGACATTGAAGACACAGACTATAGCTAAGCCACATATGACCAAGCCCGTTTCAACCTGTTATGCTGGGATTACCTGAAAAATCTGTGGGTTGTGGTGTTGGCTTGTCAGAATTCGTGCTGCAAAGTCTCAAATGATAAATAGGTACATTGTCCTAATGCTGTCTCAGTATAGAGTCCGGATGATAAGAGGTTTAAGAGGCCCAAGTTATTTATTGTTTCTCACAAAATACGTTTTAAAACTTAATGCAGGTCAAACAAACCCCATAAATAGATGAAATAAAGAAAGCTATAAAACTGAGTGATGAACAGTCTGTAAAATGTGTATTTTTTTGGAGTTTGCCTAGCCTCTTTTTTCTTAAATATTATTGCACATCACTATGAACAAATTTGTGTTTAAGAAACTTTTGAGAATCTTTTCTGTGAGCAGAACTCATGGGATTGCATTAGAAATATAAAATATTATCATATCATGAATAAATGGGAGAAAAGTTTGCATCCTCCTTCTGGCAATTTTCCTATCTTAATTTTCCCAAGGATTATGGGTATTGTTTCAGCACCATTATGGAGGATTTGAATACAAGCAATCCCTCAGCTTCTAAGATTGGCATTTATGAAACTCAATCCATCACTCTCCACTTTTATGTTTGCAAATTAAATAGCATAGGCATTTAGTGTGCTGGGAGGAGAAGGGAAGTGGTAGTCTTCAGAATATCCATTTGAATATGCTGGCTATGAAAAAGGAAGAAGGAACAACCAAAAAAAGGTGGAATTAAAAAAAACCCAAGGTTTCTGGGGAGGGAGAGAGTTCTGTAATTATAAAGTAATTAAACTGGTTTTCCTGAACTTTGCTAACCTGGATCTGAAGATACTACCTAAAGAGGGTTTCCAGATGTGCTTGGAATTAATGACAGCTTTATTAGAATAACTGCATAGACAGTCTGACTCTAAGGAGACGACTTTGAAAGATACTCATTTGGAACTACACATTCTGCTATGTTTGTGGAGAAAAGAAACCTCAACTTTCAAGTCACTCTTCATATTCCCTCCTTTCAAGTGATAAACAAGAGATAGTGCTTCAGGATTTATGGATTAGTGGGAAAGTCAAATGATGTGACTTTCATTTTGGCTACAATTTAAGTGGAATATTTGGGCTTTTCTGACATTTAAATCCCTAATGGAGCAAAAAAGATAAAAACATCTAATCAAGCAATGTTTGGTCCTTGAATTTTAAGGGGCTGGGATACCTTACATATTGCCAGGGGAAAATGTGACAATGCTTGAGCTGATGTGATAGCAGTTCAAGAAATCTGTAAGACGGCTTTAAGGTATTACAATGAACATTTTTGACAGTTATCCCTATGCTTGTCACAGGAACATGATGTGAGACAAAGTGGACAGCAAAACATACATCCTTGAATTGGTTTTACAAAATGTCAACATTAATGCCCTACCTTGTCCCCAAATCTCTACAAGACACCTGTCAAAATCCACTTAAAAATCATTCAGAATCTCATAACACTGATGAAAGACTGTTTAACCTTCTGATAGTATTGGTTAAAATGGTAAGAAACGTGTTAAAAATGGGAGAAATAGTATTAATAATTCTTTACAACAATTTGTATTACCTTAAATGCAGTTTGTGCATGATTGGCTATGCTGTTTGCCTTTAGAAAGCTTTACATATTAGCACAGACTATAGGTATAAACTTTGTCATTGATTAAATAGATTACCCTTATAAAATATGTAATCATTTCTATAAAAATATTAAACATCAGGCTTTTGTTTGAAAATTTAACTTCCGTATGATAAAACTGCTTCTAAGCATATGCCAGTTTCTCCTTACATCTTTTTGCGTGTTTTCCAGGAATATAACCCATAGTAAAGGTAAGATTACTGCTTATAATAGAAATTTAAAATCACATTCCCTTTTTAGGTAGTAAGGTATATGCGTGTCATATTAACATTTTTGAGCTAAAACTGTGCCTTTAAGAACATTACAAATGCAACATGTGATTGTAAAGTATATTATTATACTCTAAGGCTCTGAAAGTTAACCAGTCTCCCAAAGTCCCCAGTTTACTACCAGTGAATAAGTAAAATACTTTGGTTCCTTGATATTTTAATCATTAACCATAATTTTGTTTTTTAGGATTAGAAAATTAGTTTATATTTTTCATCTAGATATTCCTTTGTCCAAGTAAATTATATGTGCAGCATTTCAAATGTTCCGAATTGCTAAAGTAGAGAAAATTGGTTTTCTAGAAACTGAATTTCAAATTGGCTACTAAGGAGAAGAAGGAGGGTAGCAAAATTTCAGGAGCTGTTAGCATAGACTACCAGATTTCTTGATGTTTTGGAGTTGGGTGAGGGGGAGTAGATTTCCATGACTTGAGAAATTGCATTTGAACTGGGACTTACATGATTGGGGAAGTTTTCAAATTGACACTAAATATAGAGAAAAAGTAAGTATTTATGTTGGAAACCCTTCTTTACCAAGGGTGGAAAGAGAAAAAAGCTGGGAAGTAGCTAGTACTGAATACTATAGTTTGTCTAGAAATATGGAGGGGAGCAATAATTAACAAGACTGTGAAAGTTAGAGGCCTAGAATATGGAGGACCTTGAATGCCAGTTATAGAATTTGGGCTTTTGTGTGGTGGGATGAGGCAAAGTGAATCATAAAAATTGTGGAAATAAAAAAAACTTACATATAACAGGTCTTGAGAAAAAATGGTTGGAAATAAGAGTATGGGCAAAAGCCTGGTGGAAAGTATACATTACTGTTTACTCATTCATTCTGATGTTTGGGTTTTATAGGTAATTCAGATATACATGTGAAAACTCAGAAATATACAACAGAAATTGCTACCATCTACTGAGTCTAACTACGTGAAGGGCTTTACATGAATTGCCATGTTTAATTCTCACAACTCCATAAGGTAGTTACTATAATCACCCCCACTTTCCAGATTTAAAAAAAAGAAAAAAGAGAGAGAGAGAGTTTAAATAACTTGCTTAAGGATATACAGCAAATGAATGATAGGACCAGGATTTTTAATTCTGAAAGTGAAAGTCTGAGTCCAGGCTCATGTGCTTAACTACTATATTATTAGCCTACATATTAATATAATAGAATGAATTTCATGGGAAATATTCACATTTTAAGGTGATTTTACCTTTTATCCAAAAAAATCCATAAAATTAGACTGTTGTGATACTTACATTGGGGTTTTGTTCTCATATTTCAACATTCTAAAACATCCTTTTGCAATACATACAACTGTAACTTGTCAATTTACAATAAAATTTTTTTATTAAATTTAAAAAATAAAAACCTTATTTTGTCACACTCCTCTTTTTAAATTCTTATTCTAACCTCTGTGTGGCAGCAAAGTCCTAGGGATTCATGTGAGTAAACGTGATGATATGGATGGCCTTAGCCGTAAGTACACACATTTGTATAAAAGAAAAACTTGAAAAAATACATTGAAATGTTAAAGTCAGTTGTCTTAGGGAGATCTGGTTATGAATAATTATTATTTTATACTTTACATTTTTCTAATTTTCCAAAATTTCTTTGGTAAAAATCCTATTTTTAATTGGAAAATAGTAAATATCATAAACCATGGGTTAGCAATTAGGTAAATGAAGAAAAATACAATTGCTTCAGAACAGATATAGTTTGAGGAATGGATTTAAAAAATCATAAGTAATAATAGATAGTCGGTAGATAGTAAATCACATACAAAGAGAGTGTAGGCTCTTCAGAATGTTTATAAACTCTGAAATGTTTATAAAAGTTGATTATACTTGTATACCAAATAATAAAGCCTCAGAAGCAAATAGCCATAATTATGCATATGAAATTATATGACCAAAATTCGAATTACCAAGAATGTAGAAAGTACACAGAATAAACAATATGAGATAAAATTTTTAAAGTATTATGGTAAATTTAATGCAAATATATTTGAAAATCTCATTGAAATGGATTTTCTCTTCAAAATTATCAAAATGGAGAAAGAATAGAAAACTTAAACAATTGACTGCAAAAGAAGTTAGGAAAAATATTAAACTCATTTCCACCAAAGGCAACTATACCCGATGTATTATTTAAAATGTTCAATGAGCACATAATTTTAATTTTTCATAATTGCTCCTAAAATCCAGTAAAAGAGGTAATCTTCTAATTTATTTTCTAATGAAATTTTTGTCCTTATTAAGAAATACATAAAAGTAAACTGCATTAAAAAAAGCTAAATAAAAGACTGGCAAATACTTGCATAATTCAGCAATGCCTTAACATTATAATATTACCATTTAAGCCATAATTTTATAGCATAATTTATTTAAGCATAATTTTAGTGCACTTTCAGGAATATTAGGGAAGCTCAACATAAACTTTTTTCAATTATAAATAAACCTAACAAAAGTAATCCTTTCTTCCTTTTCTTCCCAAACTGAAAATGAAATTAACTTCAGTGGGGAAATCCAAACACTTGCAATCTGTGAGAGATGAGCCATTAAAGCAACAAGAATTATCTGGTGGTCTTAACTGGTTATTATCAAATTGTCAAAGAAGACAAAAAAAAAGCCCATATATGTCATTTGATTATCACCATTTGATCAGAAA